GTTATATGAAAGGTAGAGAAGAAAAGAGGGAAGACAAGAGAATTGGGGAAATGAGGAAGACCAAGAAAAGAATAGGGAAGAAAAAGTTAAACAGAGAAAAAAGACTAAAAGCAAGGAATAAAGAAAAAACTTAAAAATAATGAAAATAATATTAATAAAAAAGCAAGAAAAGAGAAAAGAAAACCCAGAGCAGACAGATAAGCAGGAAACAAGCAAAACCCTCAGGCACTTGCTGTTTTTACACAACAGCTCCTTTTACCATTTTGGCCTGTGGACTGTTCCTGGGAGAGGTGAGAGCTGTCAGTCCCTCTGGAGCTGCCTCCTGGTTGCAAACTGCTTTGGCTGTGGTTGGGTAAAGGCTACTGGGAGAGCTGTGGACCAGTGGCTTCCCTTTGTCCACAACCTGGATATTCTGATTTGCTCTAGAGGATTGATCTTTCAGTTTACTTTTTGTATTTTTTTTTCATTTTTATAGTTTTTATTTTATTGTTTTATTATCACTTTTTTTTGTTTTGTTTTGTTTTGAGACAAGAGTCTCACTATGCAGTTCAGGCTGGCCTTGAGCTCACTATGTAGCCTGCTGAGTGCTGGGATTACAGACAAGAGTTGCCACACCTGGCTTTATTTTTGAATTTTTAAACCACCATCCTACTGCACCCACATTTTCTTACTATCCTTGTGTTCCATGCTAGTTGTCTTTTCTCTTCTTTCCAAGTCTTGCTATACTACATCTTCCATGCATGGAAAACCCCATCAAACAATGCTGTAATTTTTGCTTTTAATTGGAAATACGTATTTTAAGAATAGTCTATTATATTTAATCAGCTACTTAAACTTTCTCTGCTCTTGTTTATTCCTTATGTTCCCCAAATTCCTTCTGATTTTTTTTTCCTTTCATCTGAATGATTTCATTTGGTAATTCTTTTAGAGTTGTCTTGATGGGGCCGGGAAGATGGCTCAGTAGGATAAGTGCTTGACTGGCAAAACGCAAGGATCTGAGTTCAATCCCCGGTTCCGCAAAAAAAAAAAAAAAAAAAAAAAAATAGAGTTGTCTTGCTGGCAGCAATTTTTCTTTACCTACAAATATCTCTGTATCACCTTCATTTCTAAATGATGTTTTTAGCCAGAGATAGTGGTTCACTCCTGTAATTTCAGCACTCTGGGAGGCTGAGGCATGAGGATCACAAGTTTGAGGCCAGCCCAGGATACATAGCATGACCATATCTAGAAGTTTTTCTGAGTATTAAAAAAAATTAATTGGGATTTTTCTTTAGAACTTGAAAATGCAATTCCAAGAAAGGGGATGGGGAGAAAAGAGGAAGGGGGGAAGAGAAAGAGAAAGAAATGAAAAGTTCCACTTTCTTTGGGCCTCCATAGTACCTTGCTGAAAAATCTGTATTTGAGTCAGTGTTCACTTATATGTCGCATACATATATTTTTGATTGCTTTCAAAATTTTGGTATATATTTCATAAGATTTTTTTTTTTCTTTTGGCGGTACCAGGGATTGAACTCAGGACCTTGCATTTGCCAGGAAGGTGCTTACACCACTAAGCTATATCCCTGGCCCTAGATTTACTTTGTGAGACTCACTGAACTTCTTAAATATGCTTGTATATGTCAAGCTTGAGAAAATATTCACTCTGTAGCCCAGGCAGCTGTCAAACTTGTGGTCCTCCTGCCTCAGTCTCTTGAGTGCTGGGGATTACAGATAGACACCAACAGCCACAGTTCAGCTTTAATTTTTTGAAAATAATTTTATCATCATAATCTTTCTCTTTTCCTTCTAGAACTTTAATATTATGAATTCAGAGCTTTGTTATTATCTCACACACTTGGCTCAGGCTGTTTTCCACACGTTTTTCTTTCCTGTTTACATTGGATCATTTCTGTTGATCTGTCTTCATTTTCACTGAGCCCTTCCTCTGTCATTTTCATCTGTAATTATGCTTTTATTTCGGTGATTTTTACATTTCAGTTTTTCTTCTCTAAAATTTCTTTGTTCTTTATTGTGTTCTATTTCTTTGCTAACAGTTCTAAATTTCAGTTTGTGTCAAGACCCATATACAGCTGTTTGTTGGAACAGTCATTAATAGCTGCTTTGAAGTTTGTCGTATCTGACATGTATGTCATTTTCATGCTGGCTGGCATTTTTTTTTTTAATCTGGTAAACTGAGATTTTCTAGGTTTTTTGTATAGCTATTTTTGTGAGTTGCATCCCTGGATATTTTGAATAGCTTATATTCTAATATACTCATTGAAACTCTGGGTCTTATTTAAATCCTGTAAGAATGTCGATGTTCTCTAGCAGACTGTGTGCTTCAGGCTGAGGTCCTGTGTGGACTGTGGTTCTGCCATCAGTGTAGTGTCCTTGACAGCACGTACTCTCCAAGGTCAGTGTGCCCTGCTAGTGGTACACAGGTTACCGCAGTCCGCAGAGGCTTCTGTACCAGGCTCAGACCCATCTTGTACAGCTCAGGAGTGAGCCCTGCGGGAAGAAATATTTTACAGGCTTGCTTTCCTGTGCCTCTTCCAAGTAGTTTCTGCATGTCCAAGGCTTCCCTTTTCTGTCCAGTGCTGAAGGATTAGCTGACCATGCCTCATCCAGGGCCAGGTGAGGGGAGTAGTACCCAGAGCAGTAGCCTAAGTAGAATCCAGAGCAGAGAAGCTACTTAGAAAAGAAGCTTCCTGCCTGAGTCTGGTCATTTGAGCTACCCCTGTAGCCTCTCTCACCACTGCCCACAGATTCTTAGGAGCCTAGCATGGGGTAGAGTGGGCATTAGGCGCTTTCCTGACCCTGGAACTGGCTCTGAAGGGCTTTTCCCAGAGTGTGTGCTTGCTTGAGTGATCTCATGTGTACACTTGCCTGGGGTGAAGGGTTCTATCTGCTTTTCCTCTTACTCAGAGGGAGATAGTGTGAGTGAGATTATTTCATCTTACCTAGAATTGGATTCTGCAGCAAAGGATGAGTAGGATTACATGGTCTGAGTTGAATTTAATTTGTCTTTAGAGCATTTGTAATGTGTACTATTTATGTATGCATGTATGTATGTATGTATGTATGTATATTTTAGTATCTTGCTGTACATCCCAGGCTCATTTCAGACTCACCATGCCTCTGCCTCAACTTCCTAAGTGCTGGGACTATAGGTGTTTGCTAGCACACCCAGTACTGCTTAATATTTTGAATGCGGTGGATTAATGTGTATTGTGGTGAGTAACAGTACAGAAGTGTGCAGAGTAAAAGTGTGTTCAGTATCATGTTCATCAAATTCCCTGGGAGAACTTTTTGTATGGATGCAGTAGGTACTCCTGTAATCACAGGTACTTGCAAGAATGAGAAAAGAGGCTCAGAAGTCTCAAGGATAGAATGGGCAGCTTAGTGACACTCTTTTCTTAAAATGGTAAGGGATATAGCTCAGTGATAGACCACTTGCCTACATGCCCAAGGCCCTGGGTTCTATCCAATATGCACACACAAGCATAGGCACACACATACATATGCTTATACACACTGGTTACATAAATATCCTGATTTTTTTTTTCTAATAGAAATATTTCATCAAATTACAAAAAAAAAAAGTTCTATAAGCCAGGGATATAGCTCAGTGGTACAGTGCCTGCCTGGCCAGCCTGAAGTCCTGAGTGATTCCTGGTACCCTTCCCCCTAAAAGTCATCTGCCATACATGCTCTTTGCAGGGAAGTAGTGCAGAGGGCCTCTACTACTCAGCCAAATTGCCAACTCAAAGAGGTTTTTCTTTGTTTTGTTTTGCGGAGGCGGGGATTGAACTCATGCCCGTGCACTTGCCAGGCAAGCACTTATTCAACTGAGCCATCTCCCCAGCTCCTCAAAGAGGTGGGTGGTTTGTTGTTTGTCTTTTGTTATAGGGAAGGGTCTACAGAATGCCCAGGGTCTCACTACTAGATTGGACTCGTAGTAATCCACCTGTTTACAGAATCTCAAGAGCTGGGATTACAGGCAGGCGCCACCACGCCCAGTCTCAGTTGCCGTCTTAGCACACCCTGGGTTGAGATGGCAACATGC